GGGGAGGGAGCGGGATGGGAGCGGGGAGGGATCGGGATGGGAGCGGGGAGGGAGCAGAGAGGGGAGTGGGAATCGGCCCCGGCACCGCCCCCTCCCGCCCCGAGGCTCCCCTGTGCCTTTCAAAGTTCCCAAGTGCCTCCCGTGCATCCAAAAGTGTCCCAAAATGTCCCAAAACATTCCCACTGCGCTCCTGAAAGAATCCCCTTTGTCACAAAGCACTTCCTTGCGCTCCAAAGTGCATCCCAAAGTGGCTCCATTCTGTCCCAAAGTGTCCCTGCTGCACCCTCGAAGCATTGTTTTGTTCTCCAAAGTATCCCCTTGTGCCCCCAAACTTCCCCCCCTGCATTCCAAACAGTCCCTTTCCTGTCCCCAGTGGGTCCCCTCATGTCCCAAAATGCCCCAGTTTCATCCCAAATTGTCCTCATTGTGTCCCAAACCACTGTCCCTGCACACCTGAAGTTTTCCTTTTGTCCTGAAAATCCTTGTGCAACAAAATGACGCCCCTGCACCCCAAAGTGTCTGTCTTGTCCCACAGTGTTCCCACTGCAGGGCAGCTTGGTGCCATCACACCCCCACCACACCCCAAAGTGCCCTTGTGATGTCCCCGAGTGTCCCCTCTGTACCCCAGCCACCCCCGTGTCCCAGACTGCTGCCATGTGCTGTCCTTGCTGTGTTTCAAAGGACAGGACATGTGTCCCATATCCCCACACCTCCTCCTCGTGTCCCTGCCATGCCCTTTATTGTCCCCATTATGTCCCCAAGCACTTCAGTCATGTCCTTTGCCATCCTTTTTGATCCCATCCAGTCCTGGTTCTGTCCCAGCCCATCACTTTGGGTCACCCCAAAGTGTCCCCACCCCAGGAGGTGGCTCTGGGTGATGGGAACTCATGTCCCATGAGCGTGTGGCTCTCATCACATCTCACTGCCTGTGGTGACATTTGTGGTGACAGCGTTTGGTGATGCCAGCCAGGAATGGTGTCCCAGGTCACTGCAGTGTCCTGCAGTCTCAGGTCCCCTCATGCACACGGGGTACAAAGGCCATGTGGTGTCTCCAAGGCTCACCAGGAGCACCGAGCCCCTTCTGTGCCACCCATGTCCCTGGGCTGTCCCCATGTCCTGCCAGCAACCTCATCCTTGTGTCTGAATGGGCTCTTTATTCGGGAAGGGGGCAGGGGGCTCCAGCCACGGCACTGCCCGGCCCCTCCCTGCCCAGCCGCCGGTGCCACCACTGCCCGCCCGGACACTGCCCGCTCCCACCCTGGGAACGCTGGCTCAGCGAGCCGGGCACTGCAGGGCTCCACTGACCATAGGGACCCCACCAAGCCCCACAAACCCTGGGGCTCAACCCTCCGGACCCGGCCCTGGTGGGACAGGGTGGCCAAGGAGGACCCACTGGGGTGCCCCTCCTTGAGCCGGGTCACCGTGCTGCCCCTCATGGAGCCACCACCGAGGTGACACATGGCCAAGTCCTTCCTGGAGACGCTGCTCCATCAAGTCCCCACTGCTGGGCTTGTCCCCAGGGTTTATCTGTCCGGGAAGATGTACCCATAGTGGTTGAGGATGTGCTCCACCACCTGGTTCTGGAAGACCATGTGCATGGCCATGTTGCCCTCCTCACAGGCCGGCCGCAGCAGCGTGGGGCCGAAGACGATGGCGACACTCTGCACCGACATGCGGTTCTCCTCCTTGTGCTCCACCACCCTGCAGGGACACGGGACGTGTCACCGGCACGGCCCTGACCCCGGGGCCCGTCCCCAGAGTCGTGTTCTGCCTTCCTGCAGCGGGCAGGGTTTGGGGGAATACAGGGGTGTCACCTGCAGAGGTGGCGGAAAAGGACCTTCATGGTGTCATGGTGGGCGGGAGGCAGGGACTGCACCAGGTCCCGGACGCAGCGGCCCCGCAGGGACGGCTCCTGGATCTCTGCCAGGGAGGGAGGGCATGGTGGGGTGCTGGCTCCAGCAGTCACAGCATCCTTGTCCCCACCTCCATTCCCATCCTCATCCCATCCTTGTCCCTATCTAATCCATCCTCATCCGAGGTCTTGTTTCCATTCCCATCCCTTTTCTTTCTCATTCCCATCCCCAACCCCATCCTAATACCCTTTCCCATCCCATCTCCATTCCATCCCAGTTCCCATTCTTGTCTCCATCCCATTCTAACCCCATCCTTGTCCCCATCTCATCCCATCCCATCCTTGTCCCCATCCCATCCTTGTCCCCATCCCATCC